GTAGGCGATCTCTGGGGAAACGCTGAAGTGCAGGTTGCCAGAAGGAGGGGGGGTGGTCTCTGACGGGCGGGGCTGGTGGTGGAGCTGAGCGAGATGAAGCTGCTGCTGCCGTGGAGCGCTGATGTTTCTGCCTCTGCTCGCGACGATCTCTCCAGCGGGCTGGGGGACGGGATGAGCCGCGCGGCTTGATGAGATGGCGCACAGCTTCCGACATCTCCTCCGACTGCTTCGAGTTCGCCAGCATGGTCTTTAAGCTGCTTCCGAACAACGCGTCCGATGTGATGGGGCCCTCCATCAAGTCCTTGTGCAGCTTTTCCGGCAGCAAGGGAGAGTGACGAAGCCAGGTGGAACGTTGGATTACCGTCATCCACGCTGCAATCCTCGACAGGCAAACCGTGGAAGCGGCGCACATGTTGAGGATGGCGTCTGCCGATTTACACAGGGAGCTCTTTGTCTCCTCCGGCAGGTCTGCGGCCTCCAGCCTCTTCGACATGCTAAATGCTAGCAGCGCCACGTTGTTGCTAGCTGCGGCCGCCTGAAAAGCACATTGGTGGGCTCGGTTGGAGAGCGCGGTCACCGCCTGGTCGTGTTTCCCCGGAGGGACGGGACGCTTCTCCAACCTGGACAGCTTCGCTCCGAAGGCTTCCGCGAGGCTTGGCTCAAGGGGGGGTACCGAGGGATAGCTCCGTTCGGTGAATCCCTCCACTCTGGTGATGGGGGCGTAAGTGGAGACGGGCGCCCTTAACCTACCAGGACCGGCTGCAGCCTCGTTCCAGTACGATGTCACCGCTGGAAAACGAGGCCAAATGGGATCAGGACGGCGAGCCGGCATGGAGCCAAACCTTCCCGCAAGATCATCCGATCTGAGCGGGGGGGGTGAGGGGACGGAGAGCCCCTTTACGTTAGCAGCTTCCCGGATAATGGCGGGCAGCTCCGAGAGGAGCGCGCCGACGGCAGGGAGCGGTGTGGTCGTTGAGGCGGGAAACCCCGGGGGAGTCGAGCATCCGCTCGGCCTCCCTCTTTCCAACACTGCGCTCCCCGGGAGGGAACAAGCGTCGGGGCTGCTGCTAACGTCACCGGTCCCAGAGGAATCATCCGATTCACTCCGAGAGCCGGCGTAGAAGAAATCCATGGCGTCGTCCAGCGAGCAGTCTCCCGCCACGGACAGGCAGTCCTCGATGGTAGCCTTAAACAAGGCTGCTCTCCTCTGCCTTTCCTCCGGTGGAAGCTCGTCACAGAGGCGGCAGGAGGAAGCGCGGGCGACGTGGCGGGGACCCAGGCATCCCTCGCAGGTGTCGTGCCGGTCGAAGCTGAGCAAGTAACCGGTCTTGCAGGAGGGACACAAGCGGATGGTGCTGGGGCTGGACATCTCGATGAAAAGGTCAGTTGTTTTATTATATTAGCTTGCTTAAGAAAAATGGGAGCAGATTACCCGCTCTTAATGTAATTTATACGGATCGGGTGGGGCCCACACAGCAGGTGGGCGTGGACTAATTTTTTCAGTATGATGCTTGCGCATAACGGGATAAACCCATCAGCGACAGCCTTAAAGGGCGAAGCCTATATGACATAGAACTGTATGTATTCTGCCAGGTGCACGTGCCACCGCGAGAGCCACTCCAGCTATGTGAAGCTAGCAGGAGTGATGCAGAGCATCGCTGGAACAAGGGCAAGGGGGTTTTCAGAATAAAAGTTTAGACCGGATATTTATTTTTCGACATTTCAAAGTATTAGTAACATTTGAAGCCACCTATGTAACATATCCATCCATCCATCCATTATCTTCCGCTTCCTAAGGAGGTGCTTTGGGGAAATCAAAATAAATTGCTGATTACATTGTACTAACCGGTGTATTTTGGTTTCTGAACACAGTATACCCACTACAAAAATGTAGACTACACCACTGTGTGAGACACTGGTTCTGCAATGATATGAGCAGCCAGCCTTAAAAAATAATGTGGAAGGTCATCAAGGCCTGCAGATTTTTTAGAATCTAGACTTTTTAACAATTTATTAACCTCACTAACGGAATACGTTGAAAGTGAAAAAGTCTGGTTTACTGATTGACTTGTAGGAGAGATTTAATTTGTAAATGTTTGGCAAATGCATGTAAACTAGGGATGCACCGATCCACTTTTTAAAATTCCGATCCCGATACCTGTAGCTGAGTATCGGCCGATACTGATCCAGTTCCGATATCATGATCATCATAGATTTTACATGAGGCTGTAATAATCTCCTCTCAAGTACAATTTGTACAAATACATGCATGCATGTCCAAAAAGGCAACTTGAGGTAAGTTTTATTAATGTTGGATAAGTTTTAAAGTTAGAATGAAATTCTGCTAACACAAAACATGTTTCTTTTTATTCCTAGCTTTAAAGTGGATATTAAAGTGATTAATTTAAGTGATTGTTTAAAGTTGTTTTGTATTTTATAAGGGGCAGATATAATAATTGTTTCTTCTTTCTGCACTCTTTTCATTCAATGTTTTCTTTTTGATGATTTTTTTTATTTTGTTTCATTTAAATGAATGAATAAATGAATTAAATTAAATGTTAAATGGCTTCAAACATCTGCTAAGTTCATGGCATAAACCAACAGACATGTTCCTGTTCTTAGTATTTTACATCACTTTGTAATATAACTGTTTATGTTTTTAATATATATATAATTTTCAATCAGAATCAGAATCAGAATAAACTTTATTGTAATTGCACCGAGGTACAACGTGAATATGTACGTACAGTCATTCGAAAGATGGGCGGAGTGCACGAAGCTGCAACTACAGGAGAGCGCGGCCATTTTATCCTTATCAGATAATAATCTTAGATAGGAAAAGGAGGAGAAACATGAGGGTAGATAGTGGTATTACAAAAAATATATTTCACATCTTGTCTATTAGGACAGGATTTGAGACATCAAAAAACTCTACCAGCAAGCACAATTAAAACATGATTACATTTGCATTTGACATCGAGGTGTTGAGATTTGTCCATGAGCGTTTTTTTCATATCAGCCACAGTTTCTGAAGATGTTGTTCCAGCCAGCAGTTCTGATAAGCCTGCACAGAAAGTTCTCGGGGGTGGGGGGGATAGATGAAGCTTTTGTCCTTGGGTACTCATGTCCCAGGAGAAATTTGATAGTCAGCCTGAGTCAGATTAGATAAGCTTAATATTTGTTTTTCTTCAGGCAGACAGATTTTTTCTTCAGCCTTGAGTCCATCTGGGCGTTCTGGTTCTGAAAAAGCCTAATTGTGGAATTTAATTTCACTGATCCATGCTATGAGTCTCCTTCAACGTCGAACCCACCACGCTTCGAGTCCCAAAGCCGCAGGTGGTCTGCGATTCTCAATCGCCTCCACCTTACGGTTAAGCTCGTAGACCAGACGATTTAAAGTTCCCACAGCGAGTACCAGACCTTCACACTGACTCGGAAGTTTTTCCATGGCCAAAACTGCTCCCGCTGTCTTCTTCAAGATGAGACCCAGGCGCTTTAGACAGGCCGGTTCCCCAGGACCTTGTCGCTTTGATGAAAAAATCTTATCAATAGAGTTGAACGCCCACAATACCAAATCCATAATCTTCTTAATTTATGTTCGGGAGATGAGACCCAGGCGCTTCAGACAGACAGAGAGCAGAGCAGGAAGAAGGAAAAAAATGGGGGAGGAGAAATTGAAGCTGCCACCTCGATCAGAGCCTGGGAGGAAGCAAGTTATGTTTTTTATGATTGTCTACTGTTGTACTGATAAATTTCTCCTGGAAGGTAAACTATATCTTGACTGCAAGTATCAAGCTGAGAAATCCTTCGTTTTCTACAACTGATAGTGGTTGGTCATTAATTATTATGAAGTTTAGCAACTTCTCGGTAAACATTTGAGCTCCGTGGTTTCAGCGATGTCTACTTCTTGTTCAATCCAAAGCAGGCAGCCTGATTTGGGGCAGCCGCGCTCAGTCTGTCCCTCCTCGGAGACGGGCAGACTGAGCGGGGCAGATTGGACGCGGCTGGCCGGTGTCGAGTCGCCTCTTTCGGTTTGACCAAAGAGTAGTGCCCCGCTGAAGCCACGGAGCTTGAATGTCCATCGTAAAACTAACTTTAACGTGGTTTAATGTGGCACTATGGCTCTGCAGACATTGCACGATGCTATCTTGTGGTGTTTTTAGTGTAAAATACTTCCACACAGCGGACATGTTTAGATGAAAAGTTTGTTAGCTGTTAGCCACAGTGCTGCTAACTCAGTCCTCACGTTGCAGCTGGCTGCAAACTATGAACTGGATTTCCTGAATGTGAGACGGGTCTTATTACTCTGGGTTCATGAGACAGGAAATCCATTCCATAGTTTGAAGCCAACATGTATCATGGATCGGAAATATCGGCAGGTGAATCGGAAAATCTGATAAGTAAATTATGCTGGTATCGGACGCCGATACAGATACTTGATCGAATCTGCCCCATCCCTAATGTAAACACAAAATCCGTCCGTGTCAACGCAGATGTTTTCCTCGAATCATCATGTGAAAAAAAGCCTATGTTTCCCCCTGCCGTGTCCATGTAAAATAGGGCCTTAGCAGAGACCAGTTGAGAATCCAGGCTTGCTCAGATGTAAATTGTGACCCCCCCCTTCCCTTCCTCAGACGGTCAGAACGGTAGATGCTAAATACATTAATTGCCACATCCTTATCCAAAATTAATTTGGATAACAAAGTTTCAGAATAAACAATTAAGCTCAGGCCAAAGCAAACCACAGACGTCATAGAAAAATTTAAACAAAACCCATAAAAGAACAACAAACATCATTTGCTTTGCATTCATATAGATATTTCCCCGATTTGACCTAAATTAAATTTGCTATGTTTACAATTGTTTTGATTTTGATAAAGTAAAAAATAATATATATATATATATATATATATATATATATATATATATATATATATATATATATATATATATATATATTGAACATAATAATTAACAGTATATTTCTGTCTGATTCCCAGGTCTCTGTAATACTAACACTGATGGTTCAGTACACTGAAATTGATGTCGATGCCCCACTGATGGAAATGTTTGCCGTGCATGGCTGCATGTTTGCAAAATATATTGTTGCTGTCGGATCTATAGCTGGACTCACTGTGTCCCTGCTGGGGTCCCTGTTCCCCATGCCCAGGGTCATCTACGCCATGGCAGGGGACGGCTTGCTCTTTAAGTAGGTCTTTAGTGATGTTTGCTTTTATGTTAGTATTAATGACATACTGCATGTGTCTGAGTCTAAATGTACGCATCCTTGTGTGTGTAGGTTCCTGGCCCATGTGTCCTCGTACACAGAGACTCCTGCTGTCGCCTGTGTGGTGTCAGGCTTTATGGCTGCCCTCCTGTCCCTTTTGGTCAGCCTCAGAGACCTCATAGAAATGATGTCTATTGGAACTTTGCTGGCTTATACTCTAGTAAGTGATTGGAGAGCAAACACATTATACGTATAATGTGTTTGCTCATGAGGATGATTTCACAGTAGTCTACAACATGGTAAGGGCAAAGTTCTAGCTACAAATAAAGATACGTTTTCATTCCCCTCCTTTGTAAGTAAGGAACATTAATTTATATGACCTCATTTACAGACATCACATGTTTAAAGTTGCTTTGATTGTTTTTGAAGCTTATTAGACCTATTGTGGTCACTGTATGATATCATATGCTGTGTCAATCACAGGATAAGAATGTAAGGAGTGTTTGTTACATTATATTTGCCTAAATAAACACAGTAATGTTATTGTAAAGCTGACAGCCCACTGTGTGGCATGGCTGTGTATGTATCTGTATACAGAGCAGGTAATTGACATCTGAATGCAAAAACCATTTTGGGATATGCATAACTGCTAAGTGTAAGCAGCCTCAGTCAGAACCATCAAACAAATCATCCAAAAGAGACATACAGTATGGTGCCAGGTATGAACAGATTGCATGATTAAAAATTAAACAGTCTTAAATGCAGTGTTCTTTCTGCATTCACTGTATTGAAATTATTTTAAATTATTCATCATTTAAGAAGGGAAAGACAAATTAAGACCAAACATTTTTCCTTATTAGGAATCACATGCTGAATAAATAAATGAAGCAAACGGTTTTGTCTCATCCCCCTCAGGTGAGCCTCTGTGTACTACTTCTACGTTACCAACCTGAAGGTGATATCCATGGCTTTGTAAACTTTCTTTCTGAGGAGCAGAATAAGAAGAAAAAGGAAGGCATTTTGGCTGAGTGTGAGAAAGACGCCTGCTCACCAACCAGTGAGGCTGATGATTATGGTCTGCCCACGAACACCTGTGGAGCTAAAAACCTGCCATCACTTGGTGACAACGAGATGCTGATCGGCAAACCAGATAAAAACACATACACTACCAGCCACCCTAACTATGGCACAGTGGATATGACTACTGGAATTGAAGCAGAGGAGTCAGAAGGAGGGATGTCTCGGCGGCTGAAGAAACTAATTGGACCACGATACTATACACTGAGGATTCGACTCGGCCTTCCTGGAAAAATGGATCGGCCAACTCAAGCCACAGGGAAAACTGTCACCGTGTGTGTTTTGCTGCTCTTCATCTTCTTTTTTGCTTTCTGCTCTTTCATCATTTTTGGTGAGAACCAGTGAACAAGATCTTTGTCCAGTTCACAGTGTAATATGAACATATATAGGAAGAACCTTTTTGTCTTTTCTTTCAGAAGTGAGCTACATTGAGGAGGGTAGTTGGTGGGCTTTGCTGCTATTAATCTTCTTCATCATTGTCATTGCCCTACTGATAGTTATCATCCTTCAGCAGCCAGAAAATCCCAAACGGCTGCCCTACATGGCACCCTGTGTGCCATTTGTACCTGCTTCAGCTATGCTGGTCAATATCTACCTCATGCTCAAACTGTCTGCTATCACCTGGATACGATTTTCAGTCTGGTGCCTTGTTGGTAGGTATCCACTTTGCATTGATTTGTTTGCCAGGAAAAGTTTATTTTTGTAAAATTTTGACAACAGGTTTCCATCTTTTCAACTTTTTTAGATAAGAACTAATCATGTTTGGATATAAAGCAAGAAGAATAGAAATTATCAGTGGTGGGCACAGTTTTGCTAATCCACTAACAGCAGTTTAACAGTGGAACAAATTTTTGGTTTAAAATATTGGCATTTTTGCTAACTTTGGAAATCAGAATTATCTTATGCTAAATTATGTTTTGCCACTATAAATCCAATACCAAAATTACAAGCTTCTACCTGTCTGTTGTGGGCATGTCTCAATGAGTCCATTAAGGATGCTATTGGCTTACTATGTACATGACAAGACGTGATTGGTCGATGCAGCAGAGACAAGCTGAATGCACTCTATTGGCTTACTGTGTGTACACGTAACAAGACGTTGATTGGTCGAAGCAGCTTCAAGTTTAAGGAGATGAGGAAGTGTGACGCAGAGTGCAGACTGACAATCGTCTATGTGGTTAGTGGTTAAGCATTAGCTTCAGCTATTGTTTTTTACCTGTTTAGCAGTTTAGTGTTAGCAAAGCAAATTTTTTAGTTAGCATAATATGGGTTAGCAAAGGTAACTTTTTGGTTAGCTGTGCCCACCACTGGAAAATTTCTTGAAAAATTAAAAGATTTGTTTCATTCATTTCATTATGACATTATTTATTGAAGGAATGCATAATGTCCACCGCCTTTCATGCCAGAGTGTAAATTAAAATCATATTAAAAATAATGTTATACCAAGGTCAACAGATTTCTGAAATTAAATCTGGGGACATTTCCAGCTTGGAAACAAAAGATAATTGAACATTATCAAGAAGAAATTAAGAAACGGGGACAGTTATGGTTTAATTTATTTTTACATAATTATTCATGTGTTTTCTTAAACCAGCCACTGGGGATCACAAGCCAGTATATCTCTTGTGCCGGTCACAAACCTGAGTAAATGGTAAAGGTAGTGTCAGGAAGGGCATCCGACATAAAACACTTTTGCCAAAATTGTAATGCAAGTTCATCTAAGCAAAACCATACCAGATCGGTCGAGGCCCGAGTTAACAATGACCGCCACCGGTGCTGTTGACAAACAGGGTGCAATTGTGCTGCTGTTAGTCAAAGACCACGGGGAGGGAAATGAGTCAGGAGACAAAGGGAGAAGAGGAAAGTCAAGAATGTAAGACTGAGGGTTGGAACTCTAAATGTGGGAACAATGACAGGCAAAGGTAGAGAGCTGGTTGAAATGATGCAGAGAAGGAAGTTGGATGTTTTATGGGTCCAAGAGACCAAGTAGAAGGGCATCAAGGCTTTCAGCATTAGAGCAGGGTTTAAACTGTTTAACCATGGTGTAGATATAAAGAAAAATGGAATGACCTGAAGGAGGAGTTAGCAAAGAATGTACTAGAGGTGAAAAGGTGTCACTTTGACTGAAGGTAGAAGTAGAAGGTCTGATGCTAAATGTTATCAGTGGTTATGCTCCACAGTTTGGACGTGATGTGGAGGAGAAAGATAAACTTTGAATAGATTTGGATGAAGTGATAGGGAGTATTCCCAGGGAGGAGAGAGTGATGATCGAAGCAGACCTAAATGGACATGTTGGTGAAGGAAACAGAGGGGATGAGGAAGTGATGGGTAGATTTTGTCTCAAGGAAAGAAACTAGGAAGGACAGATGGTGGTGGATTTTGCCAAGAGAATGGAAATGGCTGTAGTCAACACTTATTTCCAAAAGAAAGAGGAACATAGACTGGCCTAAAAGAGTGTAGGCAGGAGATCACAGGTAGACAACATTCTGTGTAGAAGAGGAAACCTGAAGGAAATTGGGGACTGTAAGGTTATGGCAGGGGAGAGCATGACCAGACAGCATCAGATAGTTATGTGTAAAATGACAGTTGATGTGAAGAAGAGAAAAATAGTCAAATCAGAGAAGAAGACCAAATGGTAGAAGCTTAAGAAGGAAGAATGTTTTGAGAAATTCATCAAGGAACTGTTAAAGGTTCTGGGTTGTAAGAAAGAACTTCTAAATGACTGAACTACTACAACAACAGTAATTAAAGCTGCAAGCAGCATTGAAGGCCCTTGCAGCAAAGCGCTGCTCTGGCCTTACGGCGACCGCGGGAGCTCCATCGACTCCGCCCAGTTGGCATTGCGAACGCTCATGCTCCCGTCCCACGCCTGTTCACCGGAGTGCGCATTTGCCGAACCTTTGAAGGGTGCAGACTTGAATCATATGTTAAACCACAATATCAATGTGTTTAGACATGCTCACCGATTATGCACCAAAAATCTGGTTCCGATCGGATGATAATTCACTGAAATATAACTGTTGAAATATCGTAGGGGCGCACTTGAGTCAAATGTTAAAGAACAATACCAATGTGTTTATAAGTGCTCACTGATCACGCACAATAAATCTGGAACATATTGGATGATATTTCACTAAGATATAACTGTTGGAATAATCTAGGGGGTGCACTAGAGTCAAACATGAAACAACCATACCTATGTATCTAGAAGTGCTCACTAATCACGCACAATAAATTTGCTACAGATCGGATGATACATCACTAAGATATAACTTGTAGAATAATCTAGGGGGCGCTCAGGTGTCAAATGTTAAACAACAATCCCAATGTGTGCAGAATGGTTCACTGATCACGCACAATAAATTTGGTACAGATTTGGCAATATATAACTGAGATATTACTGTTTGAATAATGTAGGGGCGCAATCGAGTCAAATGTTAAAGAACAATACCAATGTGTCTAGAAGTGCTAACTGATCATCCTCAATAAATCTGGTACATATTGGATGATATTTCACTGAGATATAACTGTTGGAATAATCTAGGGGGTGTACTTGAGTCAAAATTTAAAAAACTAAATCTGGTGCAGATTGGATGATATATCACTGAGATATAACTGATTAAATATTCTAGGGGGCGCACTTGAGTCATATGTTAAACCACAATATCAATGTGTCTAGACGTGCTCACCGATTATGCACAAAAAATCTGGTTATGATCGGATGATGTTTCACTGAGCCATAACTGTTAGAATAATGTAGGGGGCGCACTGGAGTCAAAAGTTAAAAAACAATACCAATGTGTCCATAAGTGCTCACTAATGATGGACCAAAAATCTGGTGCAGATCGGATGATATATCACTGAGATTTAAAAGTTTGAATATTCTAGGGGGTGCACTTGAGCAATGTGTCTCGAAATGCTCACAGATGACACAACAAAAATCTGGTGCAGATTGGATGATGTATCATTGATATATAACTGTTGGAATAATGTAGGGGGCACACTAGAGTCAAAAGTTAAAAAAACAATACCAATTTGTCCATAAGTGCTCACTAATGACGCACCAAAAATCTGGTTCAGATCGGATGTTGTATCACTGAGATATAACTGTAGGAAGAATATAGGTGGCGCTGTGGAGGCTATTGGCCACTTCTCATGGACACCTGTTCAAGGGGTGGATAATGATCAATCAGTGATTTTGGTACATCTTGGCTCAAATCTGTGCAACTCAGAGCCAAACGTATTGCAACGACATCATTTCTTAATTCGCCACCCCGCCACGCCCACATCCTCCAGCTATAACTGTTTGTAATTTAAATCAAGTCCGACAATCTTATCTGTATTCTAAGACAGGATCATCCTGATTAGGTCAAGGGTGTCAAAGAGGGAGCATTCCAAGTAAAAAAAGAGACTTCCTGTTCTGAGGGGGTGGGGTATCCACAGGGATGAGTCATGTCAAGTTTGGTGCTTTTCGGTCTTTCAATGTGTAAGTTATAGAGTTTTTAAATTTATGGTGTGAAGCGCAAATTTGAGGCCTGGCCACGCCCCTTTTAACAAAACAAAACCGAAAGCTTTTGATAACTTCTACTCTCCAATGTCTTAAGAGCATATTAACCAAATTTGAAGGCAATCCTTCAAAATCCCTAGGAGGAGTTTAACATTCGCCATTAGAAACGCCCAAAAATGACCCTTTGACCCAAAATGGCCGACTTCCTGTTGATTTTGGACCAGTGTTCCAAGAGACTTTTTCATAGATCCTGAGAAGATACAGAGGTTCGCCGAGTTTCAGAATAATCTGTCCAAAAATGGCTTGGGGCTCAGGTTTTTAAATATTCTTGGGGGCGCTGTGGAGGCTATTGGGCAATTATCATGGCTTCCTGTTCAAGGGGTGGATAATGATCAATCATAGTGATTTTGGTGCAACTCAGTTGAAATCTGTGCAATTTGGAGCCAAACATATTGCAACGGCATCACTTCTTAATTCGCCACCCCGCCACGCCCACATCCTCCAGCAACAATGGTTTGCACTTTAAATCAAGTCAGACTATCTTATCTGTATTCTAAGACAGTATCATCCTGATTAGGTCAATGGTGTCAAAGAGGGAGCATTCCAAATAAAAAAAAATACTTCATGGTCTGAGGGGGCGGGGCTTTCATGATGTCAAAATATGACAACAGTGGATTGTTGTGTATCCATCAGGTATACATCATTCCAAGTTTGTTGCATTTCGTTCTTTCAATGTGCAAGTTTTAGCGTTTGTAAATTTATGGCGTGAAGCGCAACTTTGAGGCCTGGCCACGCCCCTTTACCAAAACGAAACTGAAAGCTTTTGATAACTTTTATTCTCCAAATGTCTTAAGAGCATATTAACTAAGTTTGAAGGCAATCATTCAAAATCCCTAGGAGGAGTTTAACATTCGCCATTAGAAATGCCCAAAAATGACCCTTTGACCCAAAATGGCCGACTTTCTGTTGAGTTTGGACCAGGGCTTTAAGAGACTTTTTCATAGGTCTTGTGAAGATACAGATGTTCACCGAGTTTCAGAATTATCGGTCCAAAAATGGCTTGGGGCTGAGGTTTTAAAATATTCTAGGGGGCGCTGTGGAGGCTATTGGCCAATTATCATGGCTTCCTGTTCAAGGGGTGGATAA